GAGTGAGACTCCAACTAAAAAAAAAAAAAAAAAAAAAAAAAAGACTAAACCACAACAAAGGAAGCATGTTAAAGTGAAAAAAAAAAATAGGAAATGAGTAAGTAAATGTAATTTTAAAAGAAAGCCAGAAATGTAAAATAAGGACAGTTATGTTAGAACAATGAAATTCTATTTGTTTTCTACCCTAGCTCTGTTGGCTTTATAAAAAAAAATTTTTTTTAATTAGTAGAATAGAAAAAAAATAAAGGTAAGAATGCCATGGCTGGAAGGCCACTAGTGAACAACCACATACGAAGGGTCATCAAGATAAGACCTGATATGGGGTACGAGACCAGATGTCATGAGGCAGGTCACTGTCCTCAACATCTGACTCTGCTATTTTCACCTAAGAGGAGCTCATACAAAACCACCCATTCTCTCCTTCTTTCTAATAGCAGGTCCTAAAAGGTATCCATCCAAGAAATGTTGCCAATAATAGCATTCTTAATTGGGACCAGTCTATAGACATCTTATTCTCAAAGACTTTTTCAGACCTGGATTTATATGAAATAAACTACTTCTCTGGAACTTTTTTTTGTTGTTTTTTGACTGTGAAAGAACAATTTGTTAAATTATTCATCTTTTAAAAGCACAATCACAAAATCATACTCATATACTGCTACTGTACTTTAGAATAGCAGTTCCCAAACTTTTTAGCATCAGAGACCGGTTTCATGGAAGACAATTTTTCCACGGACAAGGGGAAAGTGTAGGGATTATCAAGCATTAGATTCTCATAAGGAGTGGGCAACCTAGATCCCCTGGTATGCACAAAAGAGTTTGCGCTCCTATGGCATGATTGATCTGACAAATAGGGAGCTCTGCTTGCCAGGCACTTGCCATTCACCACTCACCTGCTATGCCACCTGGGGTGGATGGGGGTGGTGGTGGTGGTGGTGGTTTAACAGACCACAGACTTGGATCGGTCTGTGGCCCAGGAGTTGGAGATCCCTGCTTTAGAGTGTCAGGGAATTCCAAATCTAAATGGGCTACATTTTTTTTGTTTTTGCTTTTTAAATTTTTTTTTTTAAGGATGCTTGTTTGAACAATTCAGAAAACATTTTTTCCCCAGAAGCATTATAGTGATAAGGGAAATAGGTCTGCCCACCAAATCTTCATTTCCACAATTTTCCCCCAATTTCCTGGTCTAGGGACCAATGGTTCTTTAGGACGCTTCTTACACTTTCCAGGAATAGCTCTCACAGGTTTGCATTTCTATCACGGAATTTTAAGGTTTTTTTCTAAAGCTAGGAAATGACAACACAGGTAATACTTGATTGACTTAAATTCTAGATGAAAATTTTGTTTTATCAATCAGAAACTTGAAAGCAAAGGGGCAAGAGTATACTAAAAGTACTAAGCGTCTGTGTGTTTAAGGACTTCAAACATTAAAAGCAAGGCGATATTTTTTAAAATGTCATAACTCAAGCCTAAAGAGGAATGAATTCAAATTTAATTTTTTTTTTTATAAAACCACCACTGGGACTAAGTACTGAAAAACTAGGTAATAAAACAAATACTGTACTTGAAACATGATTACAATTTAAATTCTTTGGATCTTTTCTAGGCTGGGCTCGGTAGCTCAGCCTGTAATCCCAGCACTTTGGAAGAACAAGATGAATGAACTGCCTGAGCCCGGGTGTTCAAGACCAGCCAGGGCAACTTGGCAAGACCTCGTCTCTACAATAAATTAAAAATTAGCCGGGCATGGGAGTGCGCACCTGTAGTTCAGGCTACTTGGAAGGCTGAGGCAGGATGGCTAGAGCCCAGCAGTTTGACACTGGGGTGGCCTTAAGTGTGCTACTACACTCCAGCCTGGGCAACAGAATGAGACACCAACTCAAAAAAAAATGAAAAAATAAATTATTTGGATCATTTCTCCTACAAGCCCTCATATTTAATACAGAATTTTAAAACTCTCCCAACTAAGCACAGTATTATTTACAATTTTACATTTTAAAAGCTGTACTTTTAAGAATACTTTTTGAATCTTCACAGCTGGCAGGAAAGCTTTAGAAAGAAAAAGTGGGAGTTAAAAGACAAGATAGCACAATATAACTGGAAGAAATACTGGCTTCAGCCTGATGGCTCTAACTACATTCCTCCATTTAAAAAATTTTTTTATTTTAAGAATCTTTTAGCATCTGATAGTTCCATCAGTCTTTCCATTTGCAAACAAGTAACCGTAATCTTTACTTCCCATCATGTCCCAAATAAATGAGCCCTAAGATTTCCTAGAAGGTGGACCTCAATTATTGTGTCCTTTTAATATGCAAGGCAAACACTGGTTTTAACTTCTGTTGAACAGGGGAACTTACACTAGAGTGCTTAAAACGTTCAGAAAAATGTTCCAGAGGCCGCTTCTGGTCCATACAGGACAATCAGAACGTAACACATAGTATCAGGAGTCTGGAACATACATTAGTCATACTTGATTCTCTCTGTCAGGGGTTCCTCCTTGTAATGTGAAATAATTTGAATCAGGATGGAACAGTTGATAAGAAGGAAGAACAAACCAGCTAACCAAATCAACAGAAAGGTGTTCTTTCCCTGAAACTCCAGAACATATGCAGGAGCCAGCCACAGGGCTTGCCCTATAAACCAAAACACCAGGAGCACTACCGCCCTCTTCCAAGGCATCCTCACTCGTGGCATCACGAGGGGCAGCAGGCAGAGGTACCAAAGAAAATACTGGGAAGTGCACACTTTGTTGAAAGTCACGAAAATGGATGTGTGAAGAAAACAACAAAAGGCAAGGTCTTTGTGATAGGCGAAAGACACGGCTGAGAGCAGGACGAGCTGTGGCAGGAACGCAGCCAGGCCCAGGGAAAAACTCCACTCGCTCTCTGCCGTCAAGTACAGCATGTAAAAATAGGGAGAGAAGTTGTGGCGGGTGTCCCGACGGGTCAGGTGGTAGAGGTAGGTGTGCTCCCAGAATTCCCAGCCGTACTTGAAGTAGAAGCCCAAGCTCAAGGCGAAGAACGTGAGGCCAGCGACCGCCACGAAGAGCAGCACGGCGCGGCTGCACAGCCTCCGCGGGAATTCGGGCAGACGGACCCGGAGGGAGCAGCGGGCCCGTTGGCGGCCCTCGGCGCCGTCGCGCTCCGGGAGCAGGTGCAGGACGATGGGAAGGACGTAGGTCACCGGGTACACCTTCACGTGCACCGCGAGCCCGTAGAACACCGCGGCCCACGCCACCAGCCTCCTCCTCACCAAGTACAGGGCCATGAGGACCAGGGCGGCCACGACCGAGTCCGCGTTGCCTCGGCTGGACACCGCCATGGGCAGGGGGTTGAGCAGCCAGAAGGCGCTGTAGCCACACGCCCGGCGGCGCCCCAGCCCCTGCAGCAGCAGCAGGCGGTTCAAGAGCAGCGCGGCGAGGAGGTCGCAGCCGACGAAGAGGAACTTTCCGGAGAGCTCGCCCAGGTAGATGTTGGGAGTGAGGAGCCACGCCAGCAGCGGGGTGTAGCGGTACGTCGCCCGCAGGTACGGGGAGCGCCCCTCCGTGACGAAGCGCGCGGCGTCCGTGAACACCTGGTAGTCGACGTCCGTGTACCGCACGTGGAGGGTGCGGTCCTGGAAGGCCCCATAGAACACCAGGGCGACGCGGGCAAGCAAGGCCACCCCAAACAGCCCGGCGGGGGACACCCGCAGCCTCAGGAACCATTCTCCCCAGCGCCTGGTCGAGTCCATGGCCTGACAGCGCGGCAGCCGCTCAGCCCCAGCCCCGAGCGGCCTTCGCACGTCTAACCGCCGCTTCGGTCCCTCGCCCCTTGTTGCCGACGCATCTCCCAGCGGGCGAAAGTTACAACCGAAACAACCGCGGCCCCTCGCTTCCGGCATGAAACCCCGCCCTAGGACTGCTTCCGGTCTCCTGTCCCGCGCGGGGCTGTCAGTCGCCCTAGCCCAAGAATTATCCTCCTCCGGATTGGCTGTCTCGCTTCCACTGTCGCCCGCCCCCGACTCCGGCGGGGGCGGGATTTCCGGTCCCTGAGCCGGGAGCTGTCCGCTTGCCGGGAAAACCGGCACTGGCTTAAGGGTTTTTGGTGGAGCGGAGTGAGTTTTCTTTCGTTCTTTCTTTCTTTTTTTTTTTTTTTTGAGCTGGAGTCTCACTCTTTGTCGCCCAGGCTGGAGAGCAGTGGCACGCTCACGGCCACCGCAGCCTCGACCTGCTGGGCTCAGGCGATCCTTCCGCCTCAGTCTTCCGAGTAGCTGGAACTAAAGGCGCGCATCACCACGCCCGGCTAGTTTTTGTGATTTATTGTAGAGACGAAGTCTCGCCAAGTTGCCCAGGTAGTCCTCTCGCCTCGGCCTCCCAAAGTGCTGGGATTACAGGCTGAGCCACCGCGCCCGGCCGTGAGTTTTCCTTGGGTGACCCCGGTCTTCCCGCGCCCTGACTCGAGTCGGCAGAGGCGAATCCCCGACCGGAGCGAACTGCGAGCTGCACCCTCAGTCCTGGGCTGGAGACCCGAGAGCGAAAAGTGTAGAACTGGAATCGTTTCTCCCGCTTTACGCTGGGCAAGCTGGGGGCTCGCTGGTATCAGCGGGGGCGGGGGCGGGGTCGTGGGCTCCGGGATGAGTTGAAGCGGCCCAGGGTGTGTATGTCCCGTGCAATACTGGGGGCATGGTTATACTTAAACACCATGAGTTGGTGATCTGAGATTCAACATGCACTTTACCCGGCAGCCCCACCTGGAGAGGAAGGGAAGGGAGACGGGGAAGCTTCCCAGAGTTCCTCAGCGAGGTCTTCGTGCCTCAGTGCCCTTGTGTTTGCTGTTTCTTCTGCTGAAGTTGCCTTCCCCTCCCCAGTCACCCTGGAAAACACCCACCCAACCTTTCAGGCCTCAGCACAAGTATGAAGGCTCCCAGCTCCCAGCCCACTTCCTCACCTCGCAGATTATAATGGATGCCAGCCCTCCACTGTGACTGGACTGGGCGGAAGGGATCCAGGCTCCAGAGCCTCTGTCACCCTGAAGCCCCCGCCCTGCTACTGAAAGTGCTGTCCAGTGCCTGTCATCCCAGTGCTCCAAAACTCCCTGGTCGTTCCTTTATTATAGCATTTGTCACGCTGCTTTGTAATAATAGACTTTTTGTTGTTGTTGTTGTTTATTCTCCTTGTTTTCCATCAAGACACTAAATTCCTTGAGAACAGAGATTTTCTTGTTCTTTTCTGTACCTCAGCATCGTACACAGTTCCAGACTTAAAAGTCTTTGAGTAAAGGCCGAGTTGACTGTGAACCTCCTACCAGACCACCTCTAGAGTGGCATCTCTGGAGCTCCCAACTCTCAGTTCTTTTCCCTTTCAAATATCCTTTACCCATGTCAAGGTCTCTCCCCTCCTCCCACGGACTCCAAGCCTGCTTCCACGAATTTCTCACCAAGGACTCCAGCTCATTAGCATTTTCCCTTCTCTGGTCACTTTTGTACTTATAGTCTGCATTGCAGAATTTGATAATTTATTTTAGAATGTATTCATAACACTGTCAATGAGATTGTAGAGTACTAGATGGTAGGAGTTGGCCTTAATTTTTTTTCAATTCCTCATAATTTATTATAGCCTTAGACATATAGTAAATGTTTAGCAAGTACTGACTGACTTGATTTTACAGATTGAACCTGCTTCCTGGGGGGGTCTTAGAGACTAGCACAAGGAGAGAAGGTGATTTCATCCAGTCTGAACATGCAGCTCTCAGGGCTACCCTGCACTCATCCATTCTACATCTATTCTACATTGCACATTTATCCTCTGGATGAACCATGTTAATCTTAGTCTGCATTCATATTCTGATATCTCTGTATGTGTGTTTATATAATTATATGCCTTAGATTGATAATTCTAACCTTTTTGTTGGTAGTACATTGACCATATATACACTGACAGCACATCACTATTCAGGTAATAATTAATATGTTAATTTAGAATAGCTAGGTCTCTTGAGGACTTATTTGCAGTGTATAAGGCATTATACTAAATGCCTTTCATATAAGGTAGATATTCCCATCTTTAAAAATGAGGGATATCAAGGTTTATGGAGATTAAGTAATTTTCCTGTCACATAGCTAACTAGTGGCAGAGCTGGAATTCAAAATCCAGTTTGTCTGACCCAGAATATCTTAATCACTGTGTAGCTGACTTACCAATAAAATGTTGATTATGGATTCTAATCTTTCTTTCTGTTTCTTTTCTTACCTGGATATTTCTTTTCTTTTTGGGAGCATGGGGGAAGCAGGACAGAAAAGCTCACAGTGGAGGGGACCCGAGGGGGTTGCCCTTATCTGAATATTTCTAATATTCTGTCTCACTGTGACTCTACCTCTGATTTATTATTTTCCTTTGCAAATGATAGATAAGTGAGGCTGAGTCCCAGAAGATAGAGAATATGGGAGGTAGCTGTCTCAGGACTAATTAAGAAAGAGTTCTTATGCCTGGACTGGTTTTGGTGGTGTGTCAGAAAGGCCACAGCCAATCTGTCCTTATGTGGCTGGCCTAGTAGAAAGATGGGAAGCACCCAATTTGGGCAGATAAGGAAACAAACAACTAATCAAAAGAAACTAACTACATCTAAAGAGGTAGATAGCAGTTGTGGGAATGAAGAAGAGATGAGTCCTATAAAACAAACTGGACAGAGAGGTACAACTCTAGTTATGATTTCTAGGTGGGACAGAAACTGAACTCTTTGCCTTAGATGTGGGGATTTTATCTTCCCACCTCTTCCTGAAAGAGCTACACTTTTTTCAAATGCTCAACTGTTCATTAACTCTTGGACTATTATTTACAATCCTTCCTAATTCCTCTTTTTACTCTCTGCTCCTAGATTTCCATCCTAAGAGCCAGTGGCTTTGAAAGCACACACAGGTATAAACTTGTCTCTGGTTTCTTTAACCAGGACCTTGACCTTGTTCACTATGCTGCATATGCTCCCATTATCCTTCTGTATCTACAATCCATCTTTTTTGTCCCATTCTATGCTCCAAGAGGTTAAATTCTGTGGGCAGCCTCACTTAGTCTCACTTGTTCTCTGGCTTCCCTTAAGAATAGGCCAATGGGAGGACCTAGAAGATCTTTGGTGGTGTCTGAGTTTCTCTACCTAAAGCCATAACTCCAATCCTTTCCCTTGGGTATAACTCATAGTTCCAGTAACTGTCCTTTCAGGTTTAAGGCTGGTAAAGTCTTCCTACTTTGCATGTTCCTGGTTGCTTCACCATTGTTTTTTGACTTATAAGCCTGCCCACACCTTTGTAAACAACCCCTTCAGTAAAACATGGCCCTTTGAGTATACCATCTGTTTCCTGCTAGAACCTTCACTAAGTCAATCGCTTTTTTTTTTTTTACTAGATCTTGTTCATCTGTTCTGCTTTGTAATCTCTCTTGAATTTATTCCTCATTCGTTCCATGACCAGCATCCTGCACCCTAGTTTAGACCTCCAACAACTCTATTTAATCATAGGTATCGAACACCTGTACTGTACTGGGACCTGTGGCAACCACCTTTTCTCCAAGCTTTTAAAAATCTCTTAACTGATTGATTGTCTCCTGTCTCACTTCTACTGTCAGACTGATATTCATAAATAGTACATTACTTAGGTCTTCCTTAGACATCTTCAGTAATTCCCAACTTCCTAAAGAAAATGATAATAAACTTTAGCCTGATATTCAGTCCACCCATTATCTGGCTTTACCTTTCCTTTTCTATCTATCCACCTATAAAGCCCTCTGTTCTGAATTTACTAAAAGTACCCTAAATATGCCATGTGCTTTCTTCCCATGATACTAAGTTTATGCTGTACCACCTCCAAAGAATCCTGTTTCTCTTCACTTACTTAAATGCTATTTGTCCTTCAATGCGGAGCTCAAACCTCAGCTCCTCTGTAAACTTCCTAGACTTTAACAAGTAGAAATAGTCTATCCCAGGCCGGCATGGTTGTTCAAGCCTGTAATTCCCACATTTTTGGAGGCCAAGATGAGAGGATTGACAGAGCCCAGGGGTTCGAGAACAGCTTGGGCAACTTGGTGAGATCTCATCTCTACAATATATATTTTTTAAAAATTAGCCAGGCATGGTAGCATGCACCTGTAGTTCCAGCTACTTGGAAGGCTGAGGTGGTAGGAGCTCCTGAGCCCAGCAAGTCAACACTAGGGTGGCCATGAGCGTGCCACTGCATGCCAGCCTGGGTGACAGAGTAAGACTCTGACTCAAAAAAAAAGAAAGAAAACCGGTGTTTATTGTCTATTCTATTTTTTAACAGTTAATTATGTCATGTCTTGTGAGATATGTTATCTAAATCTTTTATAGTTATTGAACAAGATATACCAGCTCCACTGTGTACTTTAGGCAAGATCTTTCTTTCTTTCCTTCCTGCTACATTTGCTGAGCATCATACATGTCAGGCAATATACTAGGTGCTGAGCTGTACTTGACATGATTCCCATTTACAGGACACTTAAAGTCTAGTGTGCAAGGTAGCCATTGGTCAAATAAATTCACAAGTAACGTAAAATGTATCTGTGGTAAGTGCTATAGCATTTAACAGAATTGATTGATTGATTTTTTTGAGTTGAGATCACACTCTGTTGCCTAGGCTGGAGTGCAGTGGCACACGGCTTACCACATTCTCAAACTCCTGGGTTCAGGATATCTTTCCACCTCAGCCTCCCGAGTAGCTGGGACTACAGGCACACATCACCACACCCAGCTAATTGTTTTATTTTTGCAGAGGCGAAGTCTCGCTGTGTTGCCCAGGCTGCTCTCAAACTCCTGAACTCAAGAGATCCTCCCACCTTGGCCTCTCAAACAGCTGGGATTACAGGTGTGAGCCACTGCACCTGGCTTAACAGCATTTATTTTATCTAAGATGGGCATGGTAAGAGTTAAGAAGGTTGGAGGCTGGCAGGCAGTAGGAAGAGTTCCACAGAAGGAAAAACAAGTGGAAAATTCCAAGATTATGCATCCCTTGATGGCGTGTATACCTACCATGGATTAGGAACTCAGCAGGTACTTGCTGGTTTTTCCTGAAACTTTTGTCAAATGTATTCTAGCCTGACCTCTTAGATTGATATCCTCTCTTGCCTACTGCCTGTCCCTGTGAAATGTTTCCCACAGAAATCTCCCTCTTTTTAGAACATGCTATAACTAGCATTAGTACATGCTACTTGTTATTGCCCTTACTTATATGTGGTCTGTGCTACCTGTCGCCTCACTTCTCTTTCCTGGCAAGTTTGTAGGTTTCTTCCAACTTTTAGAAACTATGTATTTCATATATCTTATATATATCATGTCCTAAGACTCATTCCTAGTGTTTCCTAAATGTTGTACTTAAGTATTTATTGATGATTATATGAGACCCAGAGTTCTTGCTCCTCCTCCCTGTACCCTTCCATTTCTGGAGAGCAAGAGTCAGTGACTATAGGATCTACTGCTTCTTGTCAGAGAGAATTCAGTACTGCACATTGACAACCAGACCTTTCAGGCTAGTGATAGGTAAGAGCAGAAGCGAAATCCATTTCTTTGAGATTGGGAGAAGAAATGCCCAGTGGTTAAAGAAACAGGCTTACAGAGACTTGAGGATATATAAGGAAAACTGTCAGTAAGTCTACACAGTAACATGGAAGGGCAATTGGGCTTAGGATCCCTGGCCAAAAGGGACAATACCCAGGATCCAAAGCAATCTGATGTTCCTGGATTCAGCTGGACCAGTTTTCATATCCCTGGGTCTTAACATTTTAAAAATATCGTCCTAGCCGGGCTTGGTGGCTCAGCCTGTAATCTCACGCCTTTGGGAGGCTGAGGTGAGTAGATTACCTGAGACCGCAGGTTCGAGACCCACCTGGGCAACTTGGCGAGACCTCGTCTCTACAATAAATAAAAAATTAGCCAGGCATGGTGGCGCACACCTGTAGTTCCGGCTACTTGGAAGGCTGAGATGGAAGGATTGTCGGAGCCCAGCAGGTCGACACAGAAGTAGCCGTGAGCGTGCCACTGCACTCCAGCCTGGGCGACGAAGTGATACTCCAACTCAAAAAAAAAAAATTGTCCTATAAAAACTGAATTGGAAAGGTACTTGCTAAAGGATCCTAAAATTAATGAGGGGAGGTACAGGAAAGAAGCAGAAGGGATGGGTGACATGTTCATGAGAAGCATGAGAGAAGTTAAGCAGAAGAGGTCTGGCCACACACGGTCAGATGTTCTTCCAGCTCAGTCTAATTCAACCCACCTCCCCCATAGGTAACCGCAGAGTTCAGATCTTGATAATAGTTTTAGAGTTCTAAAAGAAGCTAGAGTGACAACGAAAGAGTCATCCATTTTATTTAGTAGCTCGTTCTGAACAGATGAAAATAAAACAAACCAAAAAAAGCTCACACGCTTTTTTGACTAAATTTGCATTAATTTAGTCTTTAATTCAATGAATGGAAAAACCATCCACAGATACTTCTGCAACAGTAGAGTTGACCATTACTGAGCCTGGAGGCTCATGCTAACTTTACAGCAAAGATGTGTGTTACTTGACAATAAACTAGGTTAACTAGCAGGAGTAGAGGACTAGGGGAGCAGCCGTGGGGAGGGTGCAGTGTCCCCCACTTATAGCAACAGTATACCTGGCTTCCTTTTTCTGCTTAGACCTCACAGGGAACTCCCTGGAAGGTCTTATTGACTGACGATTGGGGAGATACTGAGATGAAGAATTGCAGGGATTTCAGAAGACTTGTGGAACTGCACTGTCCCCTGAAGCAACTGGTAACCCTCTTTCTCGTTTTCGCACAGAAGCATCAAAACCAAAGCATTACCCTCCATGCCCAAATGCCAGGATTGGGACTTCACTGGCATACATGGAAATCTCTGGGCTGCTTGCAGCCACATGAGGCTGGGCCTCTGCCTCGGGAGTAGCTGGGGCCCAACAGCTCTTCGGTCCTGGCATTTGGAGTCTAGGGCTGAACCTTCCCTTCAGTGCCTCCCGTACACCAAGGTGTTCAGCTTCTCCATTTAACTCTAGGGGCTGGAGCTGCAGCTGCTCCCACCCCTGTGGAAGAAGGGGATATGGTATACTTCACGAAAGGGAAACAGAAGGGTGGTTTTATTGAATTTTTTAAAGATGCCACAGTGGCAGGATACTGCTGGGGATGGCGGCTACAGTTTAAGTAGTAGATGTTTCCAAGATTTCCGTGGAGTGGGGAATCTCCCCCCCACCCCCCCAGTTTCCTCCTTGTTACTCTCTTTCTGGTTCTATTAGCACAAGATCCAACAAAACCTCCACGAATGACTCTTTATTTCTGAAGAGCAGTGTCCACCCCTCCCCTCCCCACCACCAAATTTGACATCCTTCATCAGCTATCTTACTTCCATGTTGAAACCAGAATCACTGACTGCAAGTCTGAAGATCTGGGTGTCTCACCCCATAACCAGGGCAGAATATCTGCCCCCTATGCTAAGGTCCCTGAATACTTCCTTTCTGTACATTCAGTATATTTGGGCATATATACATCTATATACATCTTTCTCTCTCTCTCTCTCTCTCTCTATATATATATATATATATATATTATCTCTGTTTCTTTCACTTTAGATAAACCTTTCATATATGTCATATCCTAATTCCCCGGGCCTCCTCCACCTCATGTTTATGAGCCAAAGTAAGACTCAAGAGTTTCACTGGGTACTTCAGCATCGTTTTTTTCTCATCTTCACACCCTGGGTATCCTCCTCCATCAGTTGTTTTGCCCATCTTCCAATATCCGCCCCCCCCTTAAGATCTGTGCTTAGTACTCTCCTAACATTCCAAGTCCATGGCTGGTGTGAGGGTCCGTTTCTTACCAGACCTAGCTAATTCTGAGCTTGGTCTACAGCCTGAAAGAGGATTTCATGTCAGAGGAGAGAGCAGATTTCAGGTCTGACTGTAGTCTAAAGAACCATTGAGGGGTGGGGGTAGGAGGATTTGTTTGGGGGGAGGAGGGGAATTATGGAGAAAGATGCCAGATTGCATTAATAGAACAGTATAGTTTAAAGTGCAACTCAGAGAGCAAAGTTGGAATAAAAGAGGAGATTCAAAAAGGGTAAGTCAGAAAATGGCCTCTTTTTACTTTGTTATCCAACAATCTGAGGAGAGTCTGGAGGCTCTGAATAGACAGAAGGGGATGGGGAGAGAATCATTCCTTCAGGAAGAAAGCAAGCATGCAGAAGAGACCAGACAGAGGGTCACCTGCCAGTGGATGAGAAGACAAGCACACACACACACACACACACACACTGCAATACATTTGCCCCTACACATTGAAAGAAATTGGGCAAGTCTAACACTGAATAAAGATGAAAGAAGTTGACTCTTTGCCTTCTGTTCTCTTTTCCAGATTTTCACGTTTTTCTGGTTCTTGTTTCATGCCAGCTAGAGAGTAGCGGTGGGCTTACAGTAACTGGATGCTGAAAAGGTCTTCATTTTCAAGGTACAGTTAGTTAAGTTCAAGGAGAGATTATACAAAAAAGACCATGTGAAGTTACAGTAGGTGGTGACCATGTGTTAACTTCAAAGTTTTGTGAGTTTTTCCACAAGCCTCTGCCCACAGATGCATATGTACATTCTGTATAAATGGGTAGCATCTCACAATTGACTGAGACCACCTGAAATAAACTGCCACTTGATTCATGCAGGGACTATGGAAACCACTTTGTATAAGTTCCTTGGAACCTAAAAGAGATCAGAAGGCACTCTTGGGATCTGGGACTTTAGCAAAAGTTCTGGTGCGTATATGCCCTTCTCTGACCCCCCAGGGACCGCAGACACCACCCCCCCCCCCCGGAAACAAGGAATAGCCTGAGTCTGTGATCTCGTAAAATAAGCTTTCTAACTTGCCTGAAACTGACCTCATGTCAAAGGAGAATAGAGATGACACTGATTTCATCATTTCATGCCAAGTCTCAGGAATGGCTGAAGGAGACCATGGCTATTTGATCAGGAGGTATAATTTCCTTTCCTCCCAACATTGCCTAATGAAATGACTGGCACTTTTCAGAAGGGTACTGGGAGGTGTAGCAGAGAATTGTGGCTGCCAGCCAGCCACAGAGTTCTGCTTCTGCCCAAACCTTAACAAAGCATCACCAATTCCCAGAGGCTCGGTATAGCAGTCTAGAAATCTGAGAATGTACCAGTCCCACTTGATGAGGTTGGTTTAACTTTCCTGGGGAGTCTGTGCCCTGTGAATCTTATTCTGGTTGAACAACAGTGTTGAGAGAGGGAGACCCTTGCATTTTCCTTCCCTTCCTTCAAAGAGTTGAGGTTAGGGATGAGGGGTCTAGGCTGGGCAGGAAAGGAAGAAGAGAAGCCAGGTACAATGTAATCTGGAATATCATTTTCAAGTCTTTCCGTGGGGCCTGGGCACTGGGTTTTTTTCAAAGGAACGTATTGGCAAGGGTCCTCCCATTCACAGAACACAGGGAAACAAATCTTCCCAGGGCTGCCTGGAGGATAGGTTCAAATGAGACAACAGTTCTGCATTACTCCAAATTGAAGAGTTCAGAATCCAGGATAGGGGTGTGTGAGTGTGTGTGTGTGTGTGTGTGTGTGTGTGTGTTGACTATGTTCCTAGGTTTTGGTTGAGAATTGCCAGCAAATTAGCTATATCATGACAAACCCTGGCTTATTTCAACAGAGAGTTGGTAGAAACCCCAGGAGACATTGATTTCAGAGCCCTGTATTTCTGAGGGCACAGACCCCAAAGTGACCACCAAGTTTCCTTGCCTTAGGAAATTTGCTAGATGGAAGGAGACAGAGGGGGCTCCAGCCTTAAGTCACCAAACTTTCTGGTGGTGGCGGGAGGTGGGGGAGTCTATCCATCCAACCATATGATCCTCCTTATGTGAGTCTCCAAGCATGGCTGAGGCTTTCTAAGCCACTTCAGCCTAATCCCTCTCTTTCCCCCAGTGTGGCTGGCTTAAGGGAGGTGTGTGCCTTGGAATAGAAGCAGGGAGAGGCAAGAGGGGGTAGTGGGGGAAAAACTTGGACTTCAGTTGGCCTGGACTACTGACAGGCGCCACTGGGTTGGAGGAAAGGGAGCGGAGAGTGGGTGCTTCCAGGGATCTCCAGTGAACCAGGGTAGTGTTCCTTACCCAGGGCATTGAAAGAGAGGAAAGGAGACCAAGGGATGGGGAGGTGAGAACAGATGATCAGACATTGCTGATGCGCACACTAATGGCACTGCCCTCCTTCTCAGCCTGCTCCCTTAATGACTCCTCCAACTTGAGCTTTTCAGGGTCTCCATAGCGTACAGTGCTGTCACGGAGGCCACTAGGAGAAGCCACTTTCACAACTTGGTCAAAAAGGCTGAAGTCAGCTATGTATTTACCACTGGCTGACAGTGAGATGGCAGGTGTGAACTCATAGCCCCAAAGGATTTCCTCTGGCAGGTAGGAAGTGCGCACCTGGCAGGTAGCACTGGTGGACTCTACAGTCCCACTCAGGATCAGCACCAGCTCAAAGTCACCTTCACCACTGCGAAGAGGGAGATCTTTCAAGGGACTGGTCTCGTCTACCACGTGATAGAAGGTAAGGGGTAGAATGAGGAAGGGGCTGTCAGAGGCCGTGTCTACTTGGAAAGTCACATTGACCTGGTTGAGCCGGATGTTCTCACCCTCCTTGGTCTGGTGGGTCTGAAGCAGTTTGCCTGTCACCTGGCAGCCAATGAGGAGGCTCTTACGCATATTGGCAACTCGGATCATAAGGCAGGGTTTCCCATCATGGGAGGCCACGACCGCATGCTGACTGAAGCGGATGGTCTCAGCCCGCTTCTTGGGCCGGGCAATCTTGGCCAGGAAGGTACCTGTGATGAAGATTTCCAGGATGGTGGTGAGCACCAACTGAGCGATGAGAAGCACGATGGCTAATGGACATTCCTCACTGATATAGCGGAAGCCATAGCCAATGGTGGTCTGGGATTCAAGGGAGAAGAGGAAGGCTCCAGTGAGTGTGTGCACCTGTACTACGCAGGGGGTGTGGTTGGCCGGAGGGCCCAGCTCCAGCAGGTCCCCGTGTGCCACAGCTACCAGATACCATACCACACCAAAGAGGAACCAGGTGCCTGCAAAGGTTGCAGAGAAGAGCAGAAGCTTGTAGCGCCATTGCATGTCAATGAAGGTCGTCCACAGGTCCTTGAGGTAGAGGAAGCGCTTGTCGGCAATGTGCTCCATTCTCACATTGCTGCGGCCATCTTTTGTCAGGACTCGTCGCCGTCGAATCCCTGGGCCCATCAGGGGCCGGCTTTCGGTCTGAGTGGTCTGACTGTAATATACTTTGGCAACCGATGTCATCTGGAGGAAACAAGAAAGCATAATGGAAGCTTGGAAGTCAATGTAGAAAATGCAGCCAACTCCTAGCCACCACCCAATGGAAGAAGGGATTCATTTGGATGCCACATATTTGTTATGTTATTAGCAAATCTGTATTGAGTACTTGCTATAAGCCAGGCACTGTGCAAGGTGCTGGTGAGTCAAAGGTAAAATGACATCATCCTGCTTTCCAAGAACTCACAGTCTGCTGAGAAAGACACAAGCTCAGTAAGCAAATAATTGCAATACAATCTGATATGTGTAATTCTTAGGAAAGCAGAGAAGAAAGAGTAATAAGTTCACAGTTCCTTGAAGGTGAGGGTGAGACGAACGAGAGCTTTAATGATCTCCGTTCATCACAAAGCTAGTTCTGTGAAGATCTCTAATTTTGAAATAGGATCCTTCCCCACCCTCATGAATGGCTATCCCGCTGAAATCCATCCAGGCCAATCCCCCTTAAGACACACTCATACACACACCTTAATTTCTTTATTATTTCTCCTTATAGCCCCAAGTGAATACCCACTGATGATACTAGGATATTTGTCTGGCTCAAAAAATGACCGAAACTGTTCATTCTTTTACACTTCAGGGTGATCCCCAAGCACGCAGCCCATTTCACTGTTTATCGTCATCATCTTCTTCCTCCGTGTGCAGCATCTGGGGAAATCTGGTCTGAGCTAGAGTCTATGGTGGTGTTAGGAAGAACACAAACAGGACTTGAAATAAGCAGTGGTAGAGGAGAAACAATATGCTGAAGCTTCCTGGCAGCACTGGGACATTTTTCCAAGAACTGGTCGAAATGCCAGATTGTGGGTGGCAAAATTGTCTTGACTGAGTAAAGTGGGAGAGTGAGGAGTGTACATTAGTTGGTGGCTATGTCTGCACAGGCTAAAATTCAGACTTGCTATTTGTTCTACTAGTGGAAAGTGGGGCAAGGCACTGAAATAGAAGACTGTTCACCTAATACAGAGTGCCTGGCAGCCCTGCCCAAGGAGTAACTTGTACTTTTCCAGCAGAGGAAGAATTTTAATCACTGAACCCTTGGACTCTGGATCTGATGGACAGATCTGGAAAGGATCAGGGGAGTTTGGCCCTTCTTAGAGGACCAAACATTCTCCAGTCCAAAAAGTTCAAACCATCGTATTTTATCACTCTTCACACTGCCCCCGCCCTATCCTTCCCATGGCCTTGCCCCTGGAAAATGCTAACTTATGTAGGTCTAACCATATGCCCATCCAGAGGCACTGAACTGGAGAGCACCAGTGGATGAGGACCCCAAGAGTGTCCAGAGGCAAGGATGCCCAGTTTACCAGTCCTCGACCATTTGGAACCTTTGTTCATGTGCAACTATTCACCTAGATCTGGTGTGATCACACCCCTGGATCCTTGCCGACTTTAGAACAAGAAGGAAGCTCTGCAACTCTGACTTTAAAGAATTCATATCTGGAGCCCAAATAAAGCCATTCAGTACTCAGAAGTAGTAATAACATCAAATAACCACCACGTTGTCTGTGTTTATTCATTACCATGCCTTCTCTCATCTGATCTTCAAACTCTTGAAAAGAAGGTGTAAACCTCTGCAAGAGATTTCTAGGAATTTAGATAGCACAGTTGGAGATGAGTGAAAATAGTTTTCATTTTCAAAAAGAAAAATGAGACACATTTTACAAACTACAAACAGATCTCAGGCAAGATTCTAGAATGGGATATTAAGATCATGAGTACTTGGGCAGGGTGGGGGAAATAAGTTATCAATAGGCCCCAGCATGGATTTACCAGAACAAGTCACATCAAAATAGCCTAATTTTCATCTATAATAAGTATATCTAAGCGTCAGCATTGTTTTTGACAAGATCTCTCATTACAAACCTAGGGATAAGATAGGAAAAAAATGAAGAAAACGCTAATTTAATTAGGTGACTTAGAAAAATCAGCGAGTTCTGGTGAGTGGATCTTGATAGCCTGGAATTCATTTTTTATTGATATACCAGAGAGGTTTATCCTTGACCTTGCCCTATGCAATGTTCTTAACATTAATTTCATTCAAAGCTACAGAACGCTATGGCCATCACAAAGCTGGGACAGATGGCAAATCAAGGGCTGGGGCAGAATTAGGACTCAAAAGTAGTCAAATGAGTGGGTCAAATCTAACAAAAACAATAAATGCTGGATCATGTACTCGGGTCCTGTCATTACTTGAGCAAGTTCTGAGTTGGGAAGATGTGATTTAGAAGTAGTGCTATGAAAAAAATTAAACATGTTAGCAGAAAATAATCCAGTATGAGTTATTCATGTGTTTTGATAGTCAAGAAAGCAAAGTAATCTTAACTATTTTAGCTGGACTAAGGTCTCTAGAATACAGTAGTAGTTGATTCTACTCTGCTCTGTTCATCACACGTCTGCAGTATCCAGAATCGAGGAGCAATCCAGATATGAAAGGATTCCAAACCAGATCACACGAGAAATGGTTGAAGGAAATGGGGACGTTTCTTGAGAAAAGACCATCTGAAGGCTATAATGGGTGTGTGCAAATAATTGGTCTGAAGGACTCTCCCGTGATCAAAGGCTTGGACTAGTTCTTTGAGCTCCGTGAGGAACAACCAGGACAGTGAATAAAGATTCCAGATTGACATTGCAAAGAGCATTGTAGCAACCAAGACAGTCCAAATGTGAAAAAGAGCTTCTCAAGAAGCGCTTTGTCCCTGAAGGTGTGCAAGGGTAGGCCGGACGAGCACTTTGCAGAGACCCTGTGGAAGAGATTAAAGCTTTTACATGGGAGGTTGAAAGATTGCCTCTAAGCTTCCGTCTATACTTGCGGAGGATCAGGATGCCTGCCTCCTCCTCTCCACCTCTACCCTTGCGCTTTCTGTGGTGACATTGGAGGATCCATTATCGAAGTCCCAGCTTTGTGTTGAGGGGAGAGTCTGTATATCAGGAAGAATGGAAGCTTCCGGAACCCAAGGAAAGCTTTGCTTATCGTTCCCAAAATAATTATCTGTAATTATGTATCACCTTAAAGTTTATAAAATACATAATTTGAACCTCACCCCCATGAGGTAGGGAGGAAAGACATCATTAGAAACTAAAGCTCAAGCCGGGCTCAGTGGCTCAGCCTGTAATCCCGCACCTTTGGGAGGCTGAGGTGAGTGGATTGCCTGAGCCCGCGGGTTCAAGACCCGCCTGGGCAACTTGGCGAGACCTCATCTCTACAATAAATCAAAAATCAGCCGGGCGTGGTAGCGCACGCCTGTAGTTCCACCTACTTGGAAGGCTGAGGTGGAAGGATCACCAGAGCCCAGCAGGTCGAGGCTGCAGTGGCCATGAGCATGCCCCTGCACTCCAGTCTGGGTGACAGAGTGAGACTCCAACTCAAAAAAAAAAAAAGAAACTAAAGCTCAGAGAGATTTGCCCCACGTAGATGAGTTGGAACCAGAATCCAGGTCTTCCAGCTCCTGGTCCAGAACTTTTTAACTGTAGCAGCTGCTTCTGTGCACGCCAAGTTCATTCTCACGGGGCTCTTGCTCTCAGGAGGACCACAGCTGAGACAGAGAAGACAGAGCCCGGAGCTTCATGATCCCAGCATTAAGGCACTCGTGAGCACTGGAGATTTGGCTACTGCTGGACTCTTTGTTGCCTCTGGCTGTTGTGGTTGCCGCCTCCAGCTGTTGTGCCTGCTGTTGCCAGCCTTTTTATCTGCCACCTCCAGCTGTTATCTGCTGCTCCCAGCTGTTGAGCCACCTCCCACAGCCAGGCAGCTTTGTTCTCTGCGGTGGCCAGAGTCAGAAGCGGATAAACAATCAGCAACGCTCCACCTGCAAGCTGGCCAGACCCCTGGGGAAGGAAGCAGGCCAAAGTTCTGGGAACCGTTTGCTGCTGCCCCACCCAAAACACACATACTCTTTCCTCTAGAGGGTGCTGTTTCTCCCAAAACAATCCCAGCCAAACTACCAGGGACAGAATTCTGAAGACAAGACCAGCCTCCCAGTGGCAAAAGAGACAGAAACGGGAAATCCACCGTCTTTCTCCTCAAAGAACTGAACTCATGATTCTTTCCCTAAAACAACATCCAGTCGTACCTTCAGTGATGTCCAACATGCTCCCTCAGCAAGCATCACTCCCACCTACTGTTTCCTGCATGGAAGATATTCCTGGAGCTGACTTTCTTTACCTGAAAGTCGTTTATTCTCCAGAAGAATGAATGGATTTATCAGAGTGTTTCTTGAGTGCAGGACTGCTCTTGAGTAAGAACACTGTTCTTGTGACTCTCATGACTATAATTGACCCACAGCTCCCGTTGCTTTTAGGGTAACCTGCAAGATTCTCGCATAACATTCAAGGCCCTTCCTGATTGGCCTCTGCCTGCTTCTTGGTTCTCCTCTTGACAATCTTTCACGGTCCCCTAGACTCCAGTTCTGTGAAGAGCCTCACCACCTTGGCCTTTCTACCTTTGAACCTGCTTTTCTACTGTCCTGCTCAACGTCAGTCTGATGATCTCATTTTTCGAAACTTGACTCAAGTGTTAGTTACCCCCTTCGATGCTTTCCCTGGCTCTCAAAAAAAAAAAATGCATCTTCTCTGTCTCTCCTCTCACTCTCACCCAACACAGGTTTACTATGCTTTGTCTTGTACATATTCCGTTATTGAAATATTATAGTGCTTTGAAATGGCTTGTCACCTGTGTGCTCTAAATTTAAGGCCACAGACTCTGCCCTGCACCTGTTTCGCTAGCACCTAGTAGAGTCTGTTAAGAAAGACAAAGTAAGGGAATGACTGAAAGCCTGATTTGGACAGGATGAGGCCCCAGTGAGGGCTGTGGCCTTGGTCGGCCTCACGGGAGACTCCTGGTTTATGCAGACCTCCAGGAGGAGCCATGGCGGAGTTCATATCGGCTTCACTAATGCTGGAGATGCTCACATATCCATCCCTTTTTCAAGGTGGGAGAACGGGAGCCCCAAGATGTCAGTCCCAGCTCTTCTCTG